TTTTTTTTTTCCCTGAGGTGTTGGGGATCGAGCCCAGAGCCTTGTGCATGTGAGGCAGGGACTCTACCAACTGAGCTATGTCCCCAGCCCCTTAAAATCCACTTCTAATATTTCTTACATTTCACTTTTTTTTTTCCCTCTTAGAATCAAAGCTGGTGAGACAGCCAGAAATTCCAACTAGTTCAACAAAGGACGCTATCCCTGAAGTCTCAGGGAATGATGTGATTAGAAAACCTGAAAAAGTGATTTTTTCTTTAGATGAAACTAAACCAAAATCAAAGCTAGAACAACCATGGAGGAAAAATCTTTTGGAAAGAGTGGAGGCGAGTGCCCGGAAAATACAGCAGAAAATAATAGATAAAGATAATCTAAAGAAGGAACTAGAAAAAAAGTCTGAAAAAAAACTCCCTAAGGATAATTTAGCCCAACAGTGGTTTGATACTGAAACTACGACACTGAAAACTCGTGCATATTTGCTGGACAAACTTCTTCCCACCTTAGTTCCTGGAGTGGAAAAAATGTTAATGCAATTAGAAAAGAAAAAGATTTTGACAGAAGCTGATACTCCAACCAAGTTTGATCCAATTAATTATTTGGGAGAATATTTAATGAGAAACAATCCTTCTTATGTCAAAGCTCCAAAAATGTCTGGTTACCAGAGGGTGATGAGAGATGTCACAGAAGAACTGAAGGTGTATGTTCCTGACACTATTTGCTACAGGTAAAATTTCTACTATTTTCAATTGATTTTCTATTTCCTTACATTGAAAATCTAGTAGAACAATAATATTAATATAAACAGAACTTTCAAAAAATGATTTTATGGTTATTCAAAGAGTGTCTCACTTTTTTGAGGCACTGTGAAGACTAACGAAGTCCATAAAAAGTTCTTTGTATTCATAGATTTGTCTCACTAGGATGCTAAGTATGTGTTTATTTCTCTATTTATTCTCCTTGCACTGAAAAGTAGGCTATATGACATCTGGGACTACCTAAAAGTTGAACTTTCCAGATAAGTGATATAGTCTTCTGGTTCAAAAGGCAAATTATATAAAAAGTGGAAAATTCTCCTTCCATTCTTATCTTCCATCCACCTAGTACTCCACCTCTGCCATAGATAACTACTATTTTTAGTTTTCTAAAACTCTATAGAGTTCCTTTATGCATAGATTAGCACATAAAATATGAATTCTTAATTTTCTTCCTTTTACATAAAAGCATATAATGTGAGTTACAAATATTTCCCCAATTTTCACTTACCATTTATCTTTTGTCATGCATTATTTTTTTTTATTCATGTGGAGTTGAATTTAATTTTTATTTTTCTAGCATCCAGATTTTGAATCAGTGTTATATTCCAAAATATTAAAAGAATTCTCCCATGTTTTTTCTGGAATTATTAGGCTTTTAACTTTCATTTTATATATTATCCATTTGGAATATATCCTAGTATAATATGAAGGTAGGAATCCAACTTTATCCTTTTTCAAATGACTACTTAGCAGTCCCAATAAAAATTGTGGAATAGTTTATCTTTGCCCCACCAATTTAAGAAGAACCTTTAGTCTAAACCCCTGCATATTTTACAGTATATTTCTAGATTTTTCCAATTCTTGTTCTGTTTGTCTGTTTCCCTTTTATGTGCTAGTACCACACTGTATTAATCATTGAGGCTTTTAAAAACATTTCTATTAATCTGAGTGCTGGTGACCATTATTTGCTCTTCTTTTTCCTAATGTCTTCTAGTTATCATGTGTTTACTTTTTATATGAACAACTTGTGTATTTGGGGGGTTGGGGATCCTGAGGAGAGAAAACCAGAAAAAACCTTTATTGCAATCTGATTATACTTATTAATTAACTTAAGAAATGAATGTATTTTTAAATTTTTACTTATTTGTAGAGGGATACCTTTATTTTATTTATTTATATGTGGTGCTGAGGATCGAACAAGTACCTCATATGTGCTACACAAGCGCTCTACCACTGAGCTATAACCCCAGCCCCAGGAAATGAATGGGAGTGCTCATACATTTTGTATTGTCATTGTTTCAAGGCCTTTCAGGATTAAGAAATATAATTTTTAAATTTCACCTTAATAAAATTTATTTTTTTAAAATATGTATATATACACACTCCAAATCAGAATAATAATAGGATAGAAACTCCTTTAGTGTGACAAAAATCTTTAAGTGAAATATTTTTTTCAGTCTCCTTTGAACAACTAACTATAATGGATAGGAATAGTTATTCTATGTGAACTTTTTACATTTTTTTGTTTTTTTAATCTTACATGGAAAAAAAATGCTATGGCCTGAACCCAACTGCCAAACACACCTACAAGAAAAATAGCAAGTACATCTAGTTTGAGCATTGATAACGTGAAAGAAGCAGACTGGATAATATAAGAATAAAAAAACTCAGTGCATCAGTAGGCCAAAGGCTTACACAATGGGAATATAACTCTTTTAAACACTACTACATTGATCCCAGAAGAAATAAATTAAAATTTTTCTACTTCCTTCATTGAAATACTGGATAAGAAATATGGGACTGCGGTTGTAGCACAGTGGTAGAGCACTTGCCTAGCAGGTGTGAGGAACTGGGTTTGTTCCTCAGCACCACATAAAAATAAATGAATAAAATAGAGATATTGTGTCCACCCACAACAAAATAATTTAAAAAAAGAAATATAACTTTTAAAATAATGAGTTCATATTGATAACTTTATTGTATCAAATACAACATTTCTTGGTAGAGTGCTTGCCTCCCATGCACAAGGCCCTGGGTTCAATCCCCAACACCACAAACAACAACAACAAACAAAACAAAACAAAACAAAAAATACAATGTTTCAGGATTTTTATATAATTTCCTTGATTTTACATTTGTATTTCTTTTTTTTTTTTAATACTGAAATTTTGGTTCCTAACAACATTGACATAATTACCTGGTTTGCCTTATCCTATGATTTCTATAAAATAGCTCCAAAATAATAATGGCAATAAGCCTACTGAGAACAAAAATACTAAAAGAGGTTTAAGATTTACTGGAAGCTTTTCTTGGTCCTTAGACTATATCCTACTAAGGATCTGTGTATGAAAAATGATGCCATACAAAAAAAACAGGATTTAAATTGTTTTATACCAGAGAAATTCTTTTTTTAAACCATGACTCAAAGCCATAAAAATGATGATAAATTTGATTACATAAAAGTTAAAAGCTTTTTGCTTGGCAAATTGAGTCACAACTACTTAATTCTGCTGCTGTAGTGCAAAAACACTGAAAGACAATCTGTAAATAAATGAGCATGACTGTGTTCCAATGAAACTTTATTTATGGATACTGAAATTTGAATTTCATATCATCTTTCCATGCCATAAAATATTATTCTTCATTTGATTTTTTTAAAAACTATTTTAAAATACAACAACCACTCTTAGCTTTTGAGCCATAAAAAACTGGCAATGGGCCAGATTTGGTTTGCTGACCCCTGGTCTATATGAAATCTACCCCATCTATTCTAGACCTAGACAGCAATACACTTTGAATTTCTGAACCTCTTCCCATATTTTCTTTTGAATACCTTCTGTCATGAACCCTATACGTTTATGAAGGAACCTAAAATTCTTTGTGACTTGTTTTAGTGACCATCCTATAGGATAAACAACTAATTAGAAGCTTTAGCATAATAATTTTTCGGGGGGTTGGTGGGTAGGGATAGAGCCTGGGGTCTTGTATATGCTAGACAATTGTTAGACAATTGTTCTACCACTGAACTATTTCCCCAGCTCCTAATAATTCTTTTGTAATTAGGTATATATATATATATCATATATATATCATATATATATAATGATATATATATATATCATTCTGGAACATAGAGATACATGCACAAAATTCTTATTTTGTTTTATGTGTGGGTGTGGGCATGAAAATTTTTATTTTAGTTGTAGATGGACACAATGCCTTTATTTCATTTACTTATTTATTTTTATGAGGGGACTCACATACGCTAGGTAAGCACTCTACCACTGAGCTATAACCCCAGCCCATGAAATTTTATTTTCAAGCGAAATAGTTTCTTTAGAGTATGATTGCCTACCAGGGACATCAGAATCACCTAGATACTTGGTTAAATGTTCAGATTCTGTCTACAGGGCTCTGGGTTCCATCCCCAGCACTAAAAAAAAGAAAAGTACATATTTCTGGATTATTACTCAGACCTCCTGAATCAGAACCTATAGGAATGCATTTAAAACAAATTCCACAGGAGTTTATTATGCATACTAAAATTTTAATACCGAATTCAAGAGAAACCAAACTAAGGGAGTTTTAGTACTAATGAAAAGTTCCAGCAGCATGCAGGAAGCAGTATCACTGAATTTAATAAATAGCTTAAGGAAATTTCTGCTCACTATCTGTTCTTATAGAGCAATATATTAGGTTGCATTTAGATCTACTTCTATAAAAGGAAATACAATTTGGAAACTGGTATCAAGCCTCTAAACCAATATATTGACAAATCCTTCTTTGTTAGATAGGTAAATCTCAACAGCGTATAAAACTCTAGGAATTTATCAGTATCTATAATAAGAAATACAACACAAATGAGTGAGAATCCCTTGC